TTTTTCACGGAAACAAGTATGTACTTTGTATGTTATATGTTTTAATCTCTCTGTACAACTACATAACAATTGTACAACTATAATCTTTTGTAGGTTTTAAAATAGTTTTGGTTTTAATATTTCAAAATTAATTTGGGTTTATATTTTAGCATATAAATCTGTTATTAGGGAAACTACATTTCTATACATATTTCAATTTATTGTTTACTAATCCCTTATATATTAATTGAAGAGTGATTTGTGAGAAGATGTTTATGTGTCATCTCCACAATCATTCTCACCAAAACAATTGTGACATGACTTGATAAAATTGTGACATGGCAACTTTGAATCAATAACAATTTTTTTTACAATTAAATTTATATTTGTTGCCATAAATAAATCAAAAGAAATTTTTAATCAATATCTTAAATATTTTTGTTTTTATTCTAAAATTATATACAAATTTGGTTTCTCATTTAAAAATTTGATTATTATAATAATAAAATTATAGAACATTTTTATAGAATATATATTCTTTCTGAAAATAATAATAAAGACTTACCAAATTTTTAAAAGAGATTTTGATATGTCTGTGAAAAAAAATTTCCAAGTTTATAATAACAAATATAATTATTCTTTTGAAATATTTTTTTTAACGCAAGACAATTTGAAAGTAATAAAAAGAAAATTTAATTCGAAAGCAACAATTTTTTTTCATATGTATTTCATTTATAAAATTTATGATTACATATTTTAATGTTTTAAAATATTAAATAATTTATTTTTATTCTAAATTCTACTTAATAGTCGGACAAGCCAAATTTAACATTTTGTTTAGCTCTAATGTACTAAATTATTATACATTTTGATTTGAAACGTTTACATATATAAAATTATTAAATGATAAAACTAAATTTTTGAAATTTATATTATTAATAAAAARYATATTWWTSKSCAAAAAAATTAWRAACAAAAYAATKWACAACAATGTKTAWAATAAAAAATCAAAACAACTACATGTTTCACATTTTTAAAGACAAAAATTAAAAACAAAACTACATAAATAATTTATCCGCGTGTACGGGGAAAAATCACCTAGTTAGATAATTAAACTTTTTACAAAATACCAAAAATAAAATAAAAAGATACATCACATTTCGAACATAACAAATAAACATAAAATACATGTTACAAATATATTAGTTATGTAGCATAAATATATTTGATAATGGTATTTACCATT